TGGCATTGAACAAGTAATTTTTTACAGGAGCGACGGCACTGTCCATTGTGAAGGGCGCAACGATTGCGCCTGCGGAGAGATTCCAGAGTTGGGTCCAGGGTTGAGTGACGTCCCTGACTTGATGCCGCCGCTGCTTCTGCAAGCATCTTTCGAAAGAGAATCAGCGCGTTTCCTTACAATTGGCGGAGAGGAGCGCTGCAGAATCCAAGCGCGGCCAGATGCGCCGGTCGGAGACATCTACTCTCAGCTTATGGCCGCGCTCCGCGGCGGCAGACTGACTTGGAATTAGGCAAGTCGATGCCATTATACCTGGTGGCCGGCTGCTGAGCAACCGCTCGAGTCGCGAGACAGTGGCCGGCGCGTTCGGCCTCAGACGAATGCGCTTGCATGGCAAGCGCAAGTTTCATGCGTATTGGAAGTGACATATTTATCTTATTCGACATGTGTCGCCTGCGCAGGCACGCGCGCCAGCGCGGGCGCCTGGGCCCGAAGCCGAGTGCGGACGGTCGCGCCCCGCGGCAAGTTCTGACGGCGCAGAGTATTTTTCACGATAGCGCGACGATGGCGCCCGAGGCCCAGTGCGGGCGGCCGCGTCCGACGGCGAGTCCGTGTTCATGAATTCTCTTGTCGCGTCCATTACATGAGCGAACGCAAATTGCTACTTTTCCTCGTGCAATTCTCCTCCCTCTGAGCTGCGTCCAGTTAACAGTCGCCTGACCTTTTCGGCCTGATGCCCAGTGCGGACGGCCCCGCACCTGCGTTGCCCAGGGTGGCCCGATGCCAAGTGCGGACGGTCCAGTAGGAGATTTTTTCAGCCCGATGCCCAGCGCGGACGGCCCCGCCCCCTGCACTATCCTAGGTCGGGATGGCCCTGCCGGAAGAGAAGTAGCTGCTGTAGCCCACTGAGACCCAATGCCAAGTGCTGACGGCCCTGTAAGCGGTGTCTTGATTCGATTGCCCAGTGATCGCTGTTGTTGTTGTTGTTGATTCTTCTCGTTGCGTGAGCGAGCGCGATCTGCTGTCCAGCGCGATGCCCAGTCCTGACACATGTTTTCCAGATGGCTTCGGCCGGAATGTTTCGGCCTGATTGCCAGTGCCCGCGGCCTCCATCGGCGGCCACTCCCAGGGCCACTTTTGCATTTCAGGAGGCGAGGAGGAAAAGAGAGGGAGGGGGAGGGGCGGGGGAAGGGGAGGAGGAGGAGGAAAACAAAGGATGATAATGACCAGGAAAACGATGGATGGAGCAACTGGCGGAGGACGAGGAAGAGGAGGAAGGCTACAGCACCCCAGGACGACTACAGCCTGTTTACAGACAGGCTCGGCTCCAACGCGGGGATCAACTTCGATCGGCACAGCGCTTGCGTTTATAGAAAAAAAAACCGGGAGGGAAGAGGAGAAGGCGAAAAAGGATTGAGGAGAACGTGTTACACTTCTCTAACAGGACTTCTTATACGACTACATATGGATCGGAGCCGGTGTAGTCGAGCGACCGTGGATGCATTCTGCATGAGGCAACAAAGCAAATCATATTTGCCATCCATCACGATCGTCGTCTTAGTTGTCGTCTTCCATTCAATATTCATTGTCGTCCTCATTCGCCGCCCCCGTTGTCCTGACGGACAATGCAGCATCAAACTTCGTAGTATTTGGGTTGAGAAAAGTCAGATGTCTGGAAAGGGAAGGGGAGGGGGAGGAGGAGGAGGAGGAGGAGGAATAGGAGGAGAAGGAGCTGGAAAGGGGGGAGAAGGAGGAGGAGGAGGAGAAGGAGGAGGAGAGGGAAGGAGACATAACCAAGAGCTTGGTTACGCCGAGCGGCAAGGGGTCTGGATATTGAGAAGGTGGGCCTAGTTGTCAACTGCGACGCACATTTGCAAAGAGTTGGAAAACAATCTCATCATTGTCACCTCGTCATCTTTGTCTTAACGGACAGCGCTGCGCCGGGCTTCGTGCTTTGTCCTAACGGACAGCGCTGCGCCGGGCTGTGCGCTCGAATTTTTTCATTGCCATTCCCAAAGGGCCTCCGGATGTCCTGGCGACTTCCCCGAAGCCGGTTTTTCATATTGGATCCATTTCTGGTGGTCCCAGGGCCCGTTGAGAGGCTCCGAAAACCGAAAACGGCCGAAAACCAGCTGCTCCATTTCTTTTGAAGCATCGGAGTCCCCCCTTTCTCATTGCTCATCTTTCTCTTTGCTCATCCGTCTCTTTGCTTTTCTACTCTCGCGTCCCCCCACCCCAAGGAGGAGGAGGAGGAGGAGGAGGAGGAGGAGGAGAAGGAGGAGGAGGAGTGGAGAAAAGAGAGGAAAAGGAGTGTAAGGAGGGAGGAGGGGAGGATGAGGAGGAAGGAGCAATGAGGAAGGAGGAAGGAGGGAAGAGGAAGAGGAGGAGGGGGAGGGGAATAAGGCAGGAGGGGGGAGAGGGCTTCGCCTTCACTTTTCAAATTCTTAACGCTTCGCGCTACCCCACAAGCCCATTCAGAAACGACGCCCAGGCGAGTTGAGTTGATCAGAGATATCTAACAGCTACAGAGGACCTGCCGCTATCATTCGTTAAAAATATTAGGGGGTATTTCTTGGAAGGTGTGTTGGAGGCTTCTTCGGGTGTCTGGAGATCCTCTTAGCAGACCTCGGAGATCTCCTTGACGCTCTTGGGGAGTTCTTGGGAGCATATTGGAGACCTCTTCACCGCTTCTTCAGGCCCCGCCCTCGGTCCTGGGGGGACTGGATAAAGAGAGTGGTAAACCCTCCCTGAAGAGGAAACAGAGAGTTGGAAGAGAAGCTGTCCTAGCCCTCATACGCTCAGAGGCTGGTGGAGCCAGCGAAGCGCGGCGATACGGGCTTGATTATCGAAGACGCCTACGGCGAATCACCGCCGCCCCCTGCCTTTGTGGAAGCGCCTATGTGGCCGAACGTTGAGGCCAGACCTGCCAAGCCATCGGACCATATGTTCCCCGAATCGGTTTGGAAAGCCTTCGGGGAACACGCGGGCGTCTTGATGGTCATCGTCGTCGTCTTGGAGGCCTCTTGGGCGATCTTTCGGCGATCTTTGGGGGCTCTTGGGCCGTCTCGGGCCGTCGGAATGCCGAAAGAAGGGAAATGCCCAAATCCATCAAAAACCTTGGGGAAATCAATGATTTTGGCATCTTTTGGCCTTCCTGGAGGCCCTCTTGGGGGCCTCTTGGGCCCTTTTGGGCCAGCTTCGAGCCAACTTCGGCCATCTTGGTGGGTTCCTGGCACGTCTGACGCCGTCGGGAGCCGTTTTGGGGGCCTGTCTGGGCCAACGGGGGACCCTCTTGGGGCGCTCCAGGGCCGTCTTGGAGGCCATCTTGGGCGTCTTGGAGGCCATCTTGGGCGTGTTGGAGGCCTCTTGGGCCGTCTTGGGGCCCTCTAGGGGCCATCTTGGAGGCCACTTGGGCCATCAGGGGGCTCTCTTGGGGGCCTCTTGGGCGATCTTGGGGGCTTCTTGGGCCGTCTTGAGCCGTCGGAGAGCCGAAAAGGCGCAAATGCCAAAATCCTTCAAAAACCAATGGAAAATCAATGATTTTGCCCTCTTCGGACTCTCCTGGAGGACCTCTTGGAGGCCTCTTGGGCCGTCTGGGAGGCCTCTGGGGGGCCTCTTGGGCCGTCTTGGGCCGTCTTGGACTCTCTTGGGCCGTTTTGGAGGCCGTCTTGGACCATCTCGGGCGCACTTGGAGGCCATCTTGGGCCATCTTCGCGATTTTTTGAGGATGTCCCGAGCGAAACGGCCGTTTTTGCGCACGGTGGCGGGTTCTGCCGGAGCCCACTGGGGAGTTCTTTTGGAAAAAGAACCAAAACCAAAACCTGACAGCTCATCCAGCACGCCGTGCACCCCTGCAAGCAGGGGGCGGCGGATCCACCTGCCTGCGGCAAGTCCCGCCACCGTGCGAGTCCAGCATGCTCGGCGGCTCTCGTTCCAATGAGGACGGGAGGCCGTACTCGCGAGGGGTGAACAACAAGGTAATGATGATGAGGCCGGTACTCGCGGGTTCTACCACGTTCTTACGTGCCAAGGGTACGGTGGCGGAAATATCAAACCCGCCCCCCTGCGAACACATTTTAAGACAAATATCGTGCCGAACTCGATCCCCGCGTCTTCTCGCACCCCACTGGGGCGCGATTTGCGGGAGTTCCAGAAATGGAACAAGGAGTCCTTTGCATTTCGTTGCCACGGAAAAATCCGCGTTCTATTTTCTCTTTCCCCCCCTCCTCCTCCTCCTCCTCCTCCTCCCTCTCCCTCCCTCCCTCTCTCTCTCTCTCTCTCTCTCTCTCTCTCTCTCTCTCTCTCTCTCTCTCTCTCTCTCTCTCTCTCTCTCTCTCTCTCTCTCTCTCTCTCTCCTCTCTCTCTCTCTCTCTCTCTCTCTCTCTCTCTCTCTCTCCCTGCCGGCTGTGAGGATGTCTCGAGCGAGCAGGCAGTGCTGTAAGTAGGGAGCATGTTGCCCACACTCATGCCCACTCACACTCAAACGGAGGACGCGTCAGCAAGGATGTGTAAAACAATCCTATCACGCTCAGAGAGCGTTACAATCTACGTTTCGCGTGTCGTGAGGCGTTCCTTGACATATACCCATAGAAAGACTTACCAAGGGATTGATATGCATGGAAATCCATGGAAAGATGTGCCAAGAGAATGAAATGCACATATGGGGAGCCCCGTGTCGAGTAATTCTTCAGTGCCGAATGCACAAGGTCTATCAGGTGCCCATCGGACGGCCCCTGGTCCCACAGGTGCCACAGGTCCCACCAGGTGCCCACAGGTCTCACAAGGTGCCCACAGGTCCCAAGAGGCCCCATGCACGGGTGCCCAGCACACACTAGGAGGCACGTTTTCACCCTCAATCCGAGTCGCTCGGGCCCTCCCCGCGCGGCGGTGCAAAGGTCTCCTGAATCCTATATTCACACACAGGACAGAGACTGTCTATTGCAGCACAGGCAGGGCAGCCGCCGCACGAAGCCCACTCGATAGGCCACTCCCGAGGCTTCGCC